GCAGGCGGTATCTGAATTTCAAAGAGAAAATCAAATTTCTAGAAAGTTGAGTTCCTGCCCTTTCATATGACACCTCAATCAGGAAAAATGAGCAAGGAATCACAAAGTTCTGTTTGTTTAAAGTAGCCTTTACATTTTCATAATTTTAGCAAACAAATTCATTTTCACTGGGTGCCTGCCGTAGCAAAAAGCAGAATTGACAAAAGACTTTACTCTCTTTCATTGACAATTAGCCATGCATGAAGTCTTTCGTCTACGGCTGATTGTCAACGAAACGGAGTTAAGTCTTTTGTGAAGTTCGTTTGTTGATACGGCAGGCAGCCAGTGAAACACAATTTCGTTTAATCAAATCATGGAAATGCAAGCATTACTTTAAACAAACAGAACTTTGTTATTCCTAGCTCATTTTCCTGAATGAGGTGTCATATGAAAAGGCAGAAACTCAACTTTCTAGAATTTGATTTTCTCCTTAAAATTCAGATACCGCCCGCCAAACGACTTTTCGGCTTCCTCTCTTCAAATTGATTTTAATCACTCATACGTGAAATATGCATTATTATGAGTTGCATCAAATGAAGAGGAGGATCTAACCTTTCCAAATATGTGTCATTTATCAATTATAATTGTGAGTAAGTTATGATAAAACATTGATAATTCTTGGTTTAGTTTCTCTGGGATGCACTGTAAAGGGATTCTTCTGCAAAAGAATCAAACTTTTAGTTTTTTGGATCAAATTTACTATTAAAAAAGAGATGATCATTAGATGTTTATTTTTATATTAATAAAGGATATCATTTATTTTTTAGGTTGATGTCTTTTCATTTGATTCTTAAATCAAGCTTTATTTCCCAAGTAATACTGACCTGTATGACAAACAAAGCTGCAATTACCTTAATGTTGTCCTTGCCATCTACAAAGCTGCAGAAACGTCAGTGTAAAAATAATACAGATATTTTGCAGTTACAAAAGGATTTTTTTTTTTTTTTCTGAGGAAAATTCATGCAGGTTTATGTCATTAACTCAAATAAGCATTATTTCAGTAATACTGACCTTGTACAATAATGACATTGAAGCTGCAAGAATCTTGATTTCCATTGGCATCAGCAAAGGTCCAGGTAACTTGGGTGCTACCAATGTTAAAGAAATCTGTTGTTGAATGACTTTGAGAAATAATTCTCGGGACTTGTCCACTGTTGTCTATTGCAGTAGGTGCAGTAAAGAAGACTTGAGTACTCGTTTGACTTAATCCAACCTCCCGCTGGATATCCGCAGGGCATGTGGCAACAGGTGGCGTTCTATCAACTGATAGATAACATTTGGGAAGAATAAATGTACGAGGAGTCAGACTAATTTCAAATCTCTTCACAAGATTTTCACATTTTTACCTTCATACATGTGTCAATAGGAAATGTCCTTCCCTACATTTTCTCGATAATGAGACCCACAGTTTTCTGGAAGCTTCATAACATTTTAGTTGTATTATCCCCAGAGCTATCAAAGAGCTACTAATTATACCTCAAATAAAGTTATGGCCTCAAACGATTCTAGAGTTATATAGCAATGACAAATAACACTCAAATTCGGTGGGTAGCGTATACACATATATTAATAATTATATTAGGAACCAGAATTGTAAAATTGTAGTAATACAGTATGGATGTACTTTAAATTGACACCCAAAAGAGTCTAAAATTGGCCAGGTATGTATAGCAACAGTTCCTCTTAAAGACTTCTCAAGTTATAACCACATTCAAATTTTTCAGTTCTATTATCTATGACACAGTTCATATACCGTACATGTATGCAAACTTGTAAAGAACACTTGCAACACTACAGGATTGAACATAAAATGGTAGAGATATACAGTGCGTCCCAGAAAAGGCGAAACCGAGATTTATTGATGTTTTATCATAACTTAATCACATTTATAATTAATAAATGACACATATTTGGAAAGCTTAGATTCTCCTCTTTCATTTGATGCAACTTATTTTGATGCATATTTCACGCATGAGTGATTAAAAGCAATTTGAAAAGAGGAAACCGAAAAGTCGTTTGGCAGGCGGTATCTGAATTTCAAAGAGAAATCAAATTTCTAGAAAGTTGAATTCCTGCCCTTTCATATGACACCTCAATCAGGAAAAATGAGCAAGGAATCACAAAGTTCTGTTTGTTTAAAGTAGCCCTTTCATTTTCATAATTTTAGCAAACAAATTCATTTTCACTGGGTGCCTGCCGTAGCAAAAAGCAGAATTGACAAAAGACTTTACTCTGTTTCGTTGACAATTAGCCATGCATGAAGTCTTTCGTCTACGGCTGATTGTCAACGAAACGGAGTTAAGTCTTTTGTGAAGTTCGTTTGTTGATACGGCAGGCACCCAGTGAAAATGAATTCGTTTAATCAAATCATGGAAATGCAAACATTATTTTAAACAAACAGAACTTTGTTATTCCTAGCTCATTTTTCCTGAATGAGGTGTCATATGAAAGGGCAGAAACTCAACTTTCTAGAAATTTGATTTTCTCCTTAAAATTCAGATACCGCCCGCCAAACGACTTTTCGGCTTCCTCTCTTCAAATTGATTTTAATCACTCATACGTGAAATATGCATTATTATGAGTTGCATCAAATGAAAGAGGAGGATCTAACCTTTCCAAATATGTGTCATTTATCAATTAATATTGTGAGTAAGTTATGATAAAACATTGATAATTCTTGGTTTAGTTTTATCTGGGACGCACTGTACAAGGGGATTCTTCTGCAAAAGAATCAAACTTTTAGTTTTTTTGGATCAATTTTCTATTAAAAAAAAGAGATGATCATTAGATGTTTATTTTATATTTAATAAAGGATATCATTTATTTTTAGGTTGATGTCTTTTCATTTGATTCTTAAATCAAACTTTATTTCCCAAGTAATACTGACCTGTATGACAAACAAAGCTGCAATTACCTTAATGTTGTCCTTGCCATCTACAAAGCTGCAGAAACGTCAGTGTAAAACGATAATACAGATATTTTGCAGTTACAAAAGGATTTTTTTTTTTTTTCTGAGGAAAATTGATGCAGGTTTATGTCATTAACTCAAATAAGCATTATTTCAGTAATACTGACCTTGTACAATAATGACATTGAAGCTGCAAGAATCTTGATTTCCATTGGCATCAGCAAAGGTCCAGGTAACTTGGGTGCTACCAATGTTAAAGAAATCTGTTGTTGAATGACTTTGAGAAATAATTGTCGGGACTTGTCCACTGTTGTCTATTGCAGTAGGTGCAGTAAAGAAGACTTGAGTACTCGTTTGACTTAATCCAACCTCCCGCTGGATATCCGAAGGGCATGTGGCAACAGGTGGCGTTCTATCAACTGATAGATAACATTTGGGAAGAATAAATGTACGAGGAGTCAGACTAATTTCAAATCTCTTCACAAGATTTTCACATTTTTACCTTCATACATGTGTCCATAGGAAATGTCCTTCCCTACATTTTCTCGATAATGAGACCCACAGTTTTCTGGAAGCTTCATAACATTTTAGTTGTATTATCCCCAGAGCTATCAAAGAGCTGCTAATTATACCTCAATAAAGTTATGGCCTCAAACGATTCTAGAGTTATATAGCAATGACAAATAACACTCAAATTCGGTGGGTAGCATATACACATATATTATCAATTATATTAGGAACCAGAATTGTAAAATTGTAGTAATACAGTATGGATGTACTTTAAATTGACACCCAAAAGAGTCTAAAATTGGCCAGGTATTTATAGCAACAGTTCCTCTTAAAGACTTCTCAAGTTATAACCACATTCAAATTTTTCAGTTCTATTATCTATGACACAGTTCATATACCGTACATGTATGCAAACTTGTAAAGAACACTTGCAACACTACAGGATTGAACATAAAATGGTAGAGATATACAGTGCGTCCCAGAAAAAGCAAAACCGAGATTTATTGATGTTTTATCATAACTTAATCACATTTATAATTAATAAATGACACATATTTGGAAAGCTTAGATCCTCCTCTTTTATTTGATGCAACTCATTATGATGCCTATTTCATGCATGAGTAATTAAAAGCAATTTGAAAAGAGGAAACCGAAAAGTCGTTTGGCAGGCGGTATCTGAATTTCAAAGAGAAAATCAAATTTCTAGAAAGTTGAGTTCCTGCCCTTTCATATGACACCTCAATCAGGAAAATGAGCAAGGAATCACAAAGTTCTGTTTGTTTAAAGTAGCCCTTACATTTTCATAATTTTAGCAAACAAATTCATTTTCACTGGGTGCCTGCCGTAGCAAAAAGCAGAATTGACAAAAGACTTTACTCTGTTTCATTGACAATTAGCCATGCATGAAGTCTTTCGTCTACGGCTGATTGTCAACGAAACGGAGTTAAGTCTTTTGTGAAGTTCGTTTGTTGATACGGCAGGCACCAGTGAAACAATTCGTTTAATCAAATCATGGAAATGCAAGCATTACTTTAAACAAACAGAACTTTGTTATTCCTAGCTCATTTTTCCTGAATGAGGTGTCATATGAAAGGGCAGAAACTCAACTTTCTAGAAATTTGATTTTCTCCTTGAAATTCAGATACCGCCCGCCAAACGACTTTTCGGCTTCCTCTCTTCAAATTGATTTTAATCACTCATACGTGAAATATGCATTATTATGAGTTGCATCAAATGAAAGAGGAGGATCTAACCTTTCCAAATATGTGTCATTTATCAATTAATATTGTGAGTAAGTTATGATAAAACATTGATAATTCTTGGTTTAGTTTTATCTGGGACGCACTGTACAAGGGGATTCTTCTGCAAAAGAATCAAACTTTTAGTTTTTTTGGATCAAATTTTCTATTAAAAAAAAGAGATGATCATTAGATGTTTATTTTATATTTAATAAAGGATATCATTTATTTTTTAGGTTGATGTCTTTTCATTTGATTCTTAAATCAAACTTTATTTCCCAAGTAATACTGACCTGTATGACAAACAAAGCTGCAATTACCTTAATGTTGTCCTTGCCATCTACAAAGCTGCAGAAACGTCAGTGTAAAACGATAATACAGATATTTTGCAGTTACAAAAGGATTTTTTTTTTTTTTCTGAGGAAAATTCATGCAGGTTTATGTCATTAACTCAAATAAGCATTATTTCAGTAATACTGACCTTGTACAATAATGACATTGAAGCTGCAAGAATCTTGATTTCCATTGGCATCAGCAAAGGTCCAGGTAACTTGGGTGCTACCAATGTTAAAGAAATCTGTTGTTGAATGACTTTGAGAAATAATTGTCGGGACTTGTCCACTGTTGTCTATTGCAGTAGGTGCAGTAAAGAAGACTTGAGTACTCGTTTGACTTAATCCAACCTCCCGCTGGATATCCGCAGGGCATGTGGCAACAGGTGGCGTTCTATCAACTGATAGATAACATTTGGGAAGAATAAATGTACGAGGAGTCAGACTAATTTCAAATCTCTTCACAAGATTTTCACATTTTTACCTTCATACATGTGTCCATAGGAAATGTCCTTCCCTACATTTTCTCGATAATGAGACCCACAGTTTTCTGGAAGCTTCATAACATTTTAGTTGTATTATCCCCAGAGCTATCAAAGAGCTGCTAATTATACCTCAAATAAAGTTATGGCCTCAAACGATTCTAGAGTTATATAGCAATGACAAATAACACTCAAATTCGGTGGGTAGCATATACACATATATTATCAATTATATTAGGAACCAGAATTGTAAAATTGTAGTAATGCAGTATGGATGTACTTTAAATTGACACCCAAAAGAGTCTAAAATTGGCCAGGTATTTATAGCAACAGTTCCTCTTAAAGACTTCTCAAGTTATAACCACATTCAAATTTTTCAGTTCTATTATCTATGACACAGTTCATATACCGTACATGTATGCAAACTTGTAAAGAACACTTGCAACACTACAGGATTGAACATAAAATGGTAGAGATATACAGTGCGTCCCAGAAAAAGCGAAACCGAGATTTATTGATGTTTTATCATAACTTAATCACATTTATAATTAATAAATGACACATATTTGGAAAGCTTAGATCCTCCTCTTTCATTTGATGCAACTCATTATGATGCATATTTCACGTATAAGTAATTAAAAGCAATTTGAAAAAAGGAAACCGAAAAGTCGTTTGGCAGGCGGTATCTGAATTTCAAAGAGAAAATCAAATTTCTAGAAAGTTGAGTTCCTGCCCTTTCATATGACACCTCAATCAGGAAAAATGAGCAAGGAATCACAAAGTTCTGTTTGTTTAAAGTAGCCCTTACATTTTCATAATTTTAGCAAACAAATTCATTTTCACTGGGTGCCTGCCGTAGCAAAAAGCAGAATTGACAAAAGACTTTACTCTGTTTCGTTGACAATTAGCCATGCATGAAGTCTTTCGTCTACGGCTGATTGTCAACGAAATGGAGTTAAGTCTTTTGTGAAGTTCGTTTGTTGATACGGCAGGCACCCAGTGAAAATGAATTCGTTTAATCAAATCATGGAAATGCAAGCATTATTTTAAACAAACAGAACTTTGTTATTCCTAGCTCATTTTTCCTGAATAAGGTGTCATATGAAAGGGCAGAAACTCAACTTTCTAGAAATTTGATTTTCTCCTTAAAATTCAGATACCGCCCGCCAAACGACTTTTCGGCTTCCTCTCTTCAAATTGATTTTAATCACTCATACGTGAAATATGCATTATTATGAGTTGCATCAAATGAAAGAGGAGGATCTAACCTTTCCAAATATGTGTCATTTATCAATTATAATTGTGAGTAAGTTATGATAAAACATTGATAATTCTTGGTTTAGTTTTATCTGGGACGCACTGTACAAGGGGATTCTTCTGCAAAAGAATCAAACTTTTAGTTTTTTTGGATCAAATTTACTATTAAAAAAAAGAGATGATCATTAGATGTTTATTTTATATTTAATAAAGGATATCATTTATTTTTTAGGTTGATGTCTTTTCATTTGATTCTTAAATCAAACTTTATTTCCCAAGTAATACTGACCTGTATGACAAACAAAGCTGCAATTACCTTAATGTTGTCCTTGCCATCTACAAAGCTGCAGAAACGTCAGTGTAAAACGATAATACAGATATTTTGCAGTTACAAAAGGATTTTTTTTTTTTTTCTGAGGAAAATTGATGCAGGTTTATGTCATTAACTCAAATAAGCATTATTTCAGTAATACTGACCTTGTACAATAATGACATTGAAGCTGCAAGAATCTTGATTTCCATTGGCATCAGCAAAGGTCCAGGTAACTTGGGTGCTACCAATGTTAAAGAAATCTGTTGTTGAATGACTTTGAGAAATAATTGTCGGGACTTGTCCACTGTTGTCTATTGCAGTAGGTGCAGTAAAGAAGACTTGAGTACTCGTTTGACTTAATCCAACCTCCCGCTGGATATCCGCAGGGCATGTGGCAACAGGTGGCGTTCTATCAACTGATAGATAACATTTGGGAAGAATAAATGTACGAGGAGTCAGACTAATTTCAAATCTCTTCACAAGATTTTCACATTTTTACCTTCATACATGTGTCCATAGGAAATGTCCTTCCCTACATTTTCTCGATAATGAGACCCACAGTTTTCTGGAAGCTTCATAACATTTTAGTTGTATTATCCCCAGAGCTATCAAAGAGCTGCTAATTATACCTCAAATAAAGTTATGGCCTCAAACGATTCTAGAGTTATATAGCAATGACAAATAACACTCAAATTCGGTGGGTAGCATATACACATATATTATCAATTATATTAGGAACCAGAATTGTAAAATTGTAGTAATACAGTATGGATGTACTTTAAATTGACACCCAAAAGAGTCTAAAATTGGCCAGGTATTTATAGCAACAGTTCCTCTTAAAGACTTCTCAAGTTATAACCACATTCAAATTTTTCAGTTCTATTATCTATGACACAGTTCATATACCGTACATGTATGCAAACTTGTAAAGAACACTTGCAACACTACAGGATTGAACATAAAATGGTAGAGATATACAGTGCGTCCCATAAAAAGCAAAACCGAGATTTATTGATGTTTTATCATAACTTAATCACATTTATAATTAATAAATGACACATATTTGGAAAGCTTAGATCCTCCTCTTTTATTTGATGCAACTCATTATGATGCCTATTTCATGCATGAGTAATTAAAAGCAATTTGAAAAGAGGAAACCGAAAAGTCGTTTGGCAGGCGGTATCTGAATTTCAAAGAGAAAATCAAATTTCTAGAAAGTTGAGTTCCTGCCCTTTCATATGACACCTCAATCAGGAAAAATGAGCAAGGAATCACAAAGTTCTGTTTGTTTAAAGTAGCCCTTACATTTTCATAATTTTAGCAAACAAATTCATTTTCACTGGGTGCCTGCCGTAGCAAAAAGCAGAATTGACAAAAGACTTTACTCTGTTTCATTGACAATTAGCCATGCATGAAGTCTTTCGTCTACGGCTGATTGTCAACGAAACGGAGTTAAGTCTTTTGTGAAGTTCGTTTGTTGATACGGCAGGCACCCAGTGAAACAAATTCGTTTAATCAAATCATGGAAATGCAAGCATTACTTTAAACAAACAGAACTTTGTTATTCCTAGCTCATTTTTCCTGAATGAGGTGTCATATGAAAGGGCAGAAACTCAACTTTCTAGAAATTTGATTTTCTCCTTGAAATTCAGATACCGCCCGCCAAACGACTTTTCGGCTTCCTCTCTTCAAATTGATTTTAATCACTCATACGTGAAATATGCATTATTATGAGTTGCATCAAATGAAAGAGGAGGATCTAACCTTTCCAAATATGTGTCATTTATCAATTATAATTGTGAGTAAGTTATGATAAAACATTGATAATTCTTGGTTTAGTTTTATCTAGGACGCACTGTACAAGGGGATTCTTCTGCAAAAGAATCAAACTTTTAGTTTTTTTGGATCAAATTTACTATTAAAAAAAATAGATGATCATTAGATGTTTATTTTATATTTAATAAAGGATATCATTTATTTTTTAGGTTGATGTCTTTTCATTTGATTCTTAAATCAAACTTTATTTCCCAAGTAATACTGACCTGTATGACAAACAAAGCTGCAATTACCTTAATGTTGTCCTTGCCATCGACAAAGCTGCAGAAATGTCAGTGTAAAACGATAATACAGATATTTTGCAGTTACAAAAGGAGTTTTTTTTTTTTTCTGAGGAAAATTCATGCAGGTTTATGTCATTAACTCAAATAAGCATTATTTCAGTAATACTGACCTTGTACAATAATGACATTGAAGCTGCAAGAATCTTGATTTCCATTGGCATCAGCAAAGGTCCAGGTAACTTGGGTGCTACCAATGTTAAAGAAATCTGTTGTTGAATGACTTTGAGAAGTAACTGTCGGGACTTGTCCACTGTTGTCTATTGCAGTAGGTGCAGTAAAGAAGACTTGAGTACTCGTTTGACCTAATCCAACCTCCCGCACGATATCCGCAGGGCATGTGGCAACAGGTGGCGTTCTATCAACTGATAGATAACATTTGGGAAGAATAAATGTACAAGAAGTCAGACTTATTTCAAATCTCATCACAAGATTTTCACATTTTTACCTTCATACATGTGTCCATAGGAAATGTCCTTCCCTACATTTTCTCGATAATGAGACCCACAGTTTTCTGGAAGCTTAACATTTTAGTTGTATTATCCCCAGAGCTATCAAAGAGCTGCTAATTATACCTCAAATAAAGTTATGGCCTCAAACGATTCTAGAGTTATATAGCAATGACAAATCACACTAAAATTTGGTGGGTAGCATATACACATACTGTATATTATCAGTTATATTAGGAACCAGGATTGTAAAATTGTAGCAATATTGTATGAATTAATTTAGTTTAAAATGGCAGAGAATGTGTCTTGCAAAGAACTACATGAAAAACATATCATAATTATGCAACTGATTGAGCTATAAAAAACTGAATGGCTATGCATATATAACAACATAGGCTCTAAAATATCTTACCAAGTTTAAAAGTAAGAAGAATCAAAATATGGAAATAATAATCTATGCTACAATTAATATAATGCAAGCATGCATTATACAGATGTATGCCTCCAGAATTCAATCTCGATGAATGGATCGATGCATAAAAAGGTTTTAAAAAAATACTAAACAATGCTAACCATGAATTCTCCGAAGAATAAACATAGTAAAAACTGAGAAGAAACTGTTCATCAAAAGACCCAAACAAGAGTTTTTTATATCCAAATACTATTTCATTTAACGCAGCTGATTATTAAAAATATTATTCCACATTTTGGTACACAGGTATAACAAGTTGGACAAATTTTGTATGTCATCGAAAAATGTCTGTTTTTGTACCTGCTCACATGCTTGTGTTCTGCATGAACTGTTTCATCAACTAGATATTCACTTTTCACTATTGGTCTTATTATCCATCAAAATAACCAACCTATTTAAATGAATAGTGCTATGGTGATGACACATACATTTTATACATAAACACTGTAATTAAATAGGTAGAATATCAGGAACTAGGCTCCAAGAATGTAGTAATACAGTATTGATGTACTTTAAATTGACACCCAAAAGAGTCTAAAATTGGCCATGTATGTACATGTATAGCAACAGTTACTCTTAATGTCTTCCCATTATAACCACATTCAACTTTTTCAGTTCTATAATGTATGGAAAATTTCATATACATGTATGCAAGCTTGTAAAGAACACTTGCAACACTACAGGATTGAAACATAAAATGGTAGAGATATACAAGGTGATTCTTCTGCAAAAGAATCAAACTTTTAGTTTTTTTGGATCAAATTAACTATTAAAAAAAGAGATGATCATTAGATGTTCTATTCTAATTTATAAAGGATATTATTTATGTTTTAGATTGATGTCTTTATGTTCAATTCTTGAATCAAACTTTATTTTTAGATGTTCTATTCTATATTTATAAAGGATGTCATTTATGTTTTAGGTTGATGTCTTTATATTCAATTCTTGAATCAAACTTTATTTCCCATGTAATACTGACCTGTATGACAAACAAAGCTGCAATTACCTTAATGTTGTCCTTGCCATCTACAAAGCTGCAGAAACGTCAGTGTAAACCGATAATACAGATATTTTGCAGTTACAAAAGGATTTTTTTTTTTCTGAGGAAAATCCATGCAGGTTTATGTCATTAACTCAAATAAGCATTATTTCAGTAATACTGACCTTGTACAATAATGACATTGAAGCTGCAAGAATCTTGATTTCCATTGGCATCAGCAAAGGTCCAGGTAACTTGGGTGCTACCAATGTTAAAGAAATCTGTTGTTGAATGACTTTGAGAAGTAACTGTCGGGACTTGTCCACTGTTGTCTATTGCAGTAGGTGCAGTAAAGAAGACTTGAGTACTCGTTTGACCTAATCCAACCTCCCGCACGATATCCGCAGGGCATGTGGCAACAGGTGGCGTTCTATCAACTGATAGATAACATTTGGGAAGAATAAATGTACAAGAAGTCAGACTTATTTCAAATCTCATCACAAGATTTTCACATTTTTACCTTCATACATGTGTCCATAGGAAATGTCCTTCCCTACATTTTCTCGATAATGAGACCCACAGTTTTCTGGAAGCTTAACATTTTAGTTGTATTATCCCCAGAGCTATCAAAGAGCTGCTAATTATACCTCAAATAAAGTTATGGCCTCAAACGATTCTAGAGTTATATAGCAATGACAAATCACACTAAAATTTGGTGGGTAGCATATACACATACTGTATATTATCAGTTATATTAGGAACCAGGATTGTAAAATTGTAGCAATATTGTATGAATTAATTTAGTTTAAAATGGCAGAGAATGTGTCTTGCAAAGAACTACATGAAAAACATATCATAATTATGCAACTGATTGAGCTATAAAAAACTGAATGGCTATGCATATATAACAACATAGGCTCTAAAATATCTTACCAAGTTTAAAAGTAAGAAGAATCAAAATATGGAAATAATAATCTATGCTACAATTAATATAATGCAAGCATGCATTATACAGATGTATGCCTCCAGAATTCAATCTCGATGAATGGATCGATGCATAAAAAGGTTTTTAAAAAATACTAAACAATGCTAACCATGAATTCTCCGAAGAATAAACATAGTAAAAACTGAGAAGAAACTGTTCATCAAAAGACCCAAACAAGAGTTTTTTATATCCAAATACTATTTCATTTAACGCAGCTGATTATTAAAAATATTATTCCACATTTTGGTACACAGGTATAACAAGTTGGACAAATTTTGTATGTCATCGAAAAATGTCTGTTTTTGTACCTGCTCACATGCTTGTGTTCTGCATGAACTGTTTCATCAACTAGATATTCACTTTTCACTATTGGTCTTATTATCCATCAAAATAACCAACCTATTTAAATGAATAGTGCTATGGTGATGACACATACATTTTATACATAAACACTGTAATTAAATAGGTAGAATATCAGGAACTAGGCTCCAAGAATGTAGTAATACAGTATTGATGTACTTTAAATTGACACCCAAAAGAGTCTAAAATTGGCCATGTATGTACATGTATAGCAACAGTTACTCTTAATGTCTTCCCATTATAACCACATTCAACTTTTTCAGTTCTATAATGTATGGAAAATTTCATATACATGTATGCAAGCTTGTAAAGAACACTTGCAACACTACAGGATTGAAACATAAAATGGTAGAGATATACAAGGTGATTCTTCTGCAAAAGAATCAAACTTTTAGTTTTTTTGGATCAAATTAACTATTAAAAAAAGAGATGATCATTAGATGTAGGCCTGAGTCATGTCGGGATTTTCATAAACCGGGTCCCGACGGCCTTGCACCGGTCGGGACCCGGTGTCCCGAAATCAGCTCGCAGGATTTGTCACTTGCCTCTATAAAAAGCGCATATCATCAGTATGTCCCTTAAAAGTGACATTTTTATCAGTCAAATAAATCAACACATGCATACCTCGGCACAGATTGGTATATTCTTCCATTTGACATTATATATTCATCCATGATTGGCGATGTTTAGTGCCATTATCGTGCCTCTAAAAGTAAAAAAACTCGAGCAAAAATATAAAGACTACAATCGAGCCGCCATTTTGATTTATGCAGGTTGAATAAATCTTGTCAAAAAATATGAATGTTAGAATAATAAAACGGCTTTCTAAAAAATTCTTCTGTACAATATACCGATCATATAATATTTTAAAGACAAAAATAAATATTTATCTCTTATTTTAAACATCGCATGCTTTTTTTTAAAAGCTGAAAATTACTTGGTAATCACAAGAAGTTTCGATACGATCGCTGTTGCAAGGCAAGTTCAGACTAGTCTCGGAAAAATGCGCAGTGCTCCTCGTTATCTGTAATGCGTGCCAGAACGAACCCAAACAAAGACGTGATCGTAACGAGAAAAAAATCATTAAAAACTACGAGAGCACAATTGGAATGATATACTGCTCGAAATTACCATAATCAGATACATAACTTGGACAAAGAATACAATAGTTTTCCAAGAAAAGCCACATAAACAGTGATATTTAATGAGTTACTATAGGTACAATCATTATCGGAATGGCCTGCTGCAAATACTCGAATCCTTTGTTATACTGCTTTTTACCGTAGAGGGCGGTATTTGCCTCGTGTTCAATTTAAACACGTTTAGATATATTGCAGCAGGCCATTCCGATAATGATTGTACCTATAGTAACTCATTAAATATCACTATTTATGTGGCTTTTCTTGGAAAACTATTGTATTCTTCCTCCAAGTTATGTATCTGCTTACGATAATTTTGAGTAGTTGTCTTTCCAATTGTGCTCTCGTAGTTTTTAATGATTTTTTTTCTCGTTACGATCACGTCTTTGTTTGGGTTCGTTCTGGCACGCATTATAGCTATAACAAGGAGCACTGCGCATTTTTCCGAGACTAGTCTGAACTTGCATTGCAACAGCTATCCGTATCGAAACTTCTTGTGATTACCAAGTCATTTTCAGCTTTTAAAAGAAGAATGCGGTGTTCAAAATCAAAGAAAAAATATATATTTTGTCTTTTAAAAATTATTCGATCGGTATGTTGTAAAGAAGTACTTTTTAGAAAGTCGTTTTATTATTCAAACATTAATGTTTCTTTCAACCTGATTTATTAATTCTGCCGAGAGACCCGGCCAGTACTAACTAGCTAGCAGCTGGCAACAACAACCCCATGGGGCGAACTGCTTTGCAACCCATATTTATATCAGCAGTTCGGATCGATTCTGGATGAGCTAGAATACGATTGGTAACAATTAAATACTTAAGTTTTAGGGTGGATTGATTTTAGTGGTGTCCAAAACTGCAATTTCTTATATATTTCATTATTTTTTTCGGAGCACCGGTTCTCAAAAAACGAAACCGGGACCCGACGGCAACGGTCGGGTCCCGTGTGATCGACCGTACCGACTCAAGCCTAATTAGATGTTCTATTCTAATTTATAAAGGATATTATTTATGTTTTAGATTGATGTCTTTACGTTCAATTCTTGAATCAAACTTTATTTTTAGATGTTCTATTCTATATTTATAAAGGATGTCATTTATGTTTTAGGTTGATGTCTTTATATTCAATTCTTGAATCAAACTTTATTTCCCATGTAATACTGACCTGTATGACAAACAAAGCTGCAATTACCTTAATGTTGTCCTTGCCATCTACAAAGCTGCAGAAACGTCAGTGTAAACCGATAATACAGATATTTTGCAGTTACAAAAGGATTTTTTTTTTTCTGAGGAAAATCCATGCAGGTTTATGTCATTAACTCAAATAAGCATTATTTCAGTAATACTGACCTTGTACAATAATGACATTGAAGCTGCAAGAATCTTGATTTCCATTGGCATCAGCAAAGGTCCAGGTAACTTGGGTGCTACCAATGTTAAAGAAATCTGTTGTTGAATGACTTTGAGAAGTAACTGTCGGGACTTGTCCACTGTTGTCTATTGCAGTAGGTGCAGTAAAGAAGACTTGAGTACTCGTTTGACCTAATCCAACCTCCCGCACGATATCCGCAGGGCATGTGGCAACAGGTGGCGTTCTATCAACTGATAGATAACATTTGGGAAGAATAAATGTACAAGAAGTCAGACTTATTTCAAATCTCATCACAAGATTTTCACATTTTTACCTTCATACATGTGTCCATAGGAAATGTCCTTCCCTACATTTTCTCGATAATGAGACCCACAGTTTTCTGGAAGCTTAACATTTTAGTTGTATTATCCCCAGAGCTATCAAAGAGCTGCTAATTATACCTCAAATAAAGTTATGGCCTCAAACGATTCTAGAGTTATATAGCAATGACAAATCACACTAAAATTTGGTGGGTAGCATATACACATACTGTATATTATCAGTTATATTAGGAACCAGGATTGTAAAATTGTAGCAATATTGTATGAATTAATTTAGTTTAAAATGGCAGAGAATGTGTCTTGCAAAGAACTACATGAAAAACATATCATAATTATGCAACTGATTGAGCTATAAAAAACTGAATGGCTATGCATATATAACAACATAGGCTCTAAAATATCTTACCAAGTTTAAAAGTAAGAAGAATCAAAATATGGAAATAATAATCTATGCTACAATTAATATAATGCAAGCATGCATTATACAGATGTATGCCTCCAGAATTCAATCTCGATGAATGGATCGATGCATAAAAAGGTTTTTAAAAAATACTAAACAATGCTAACCATGAATTCTCCGAAGAATAAACATAGTAAAAACTGAGAAGAAACTGTTCATCAAAAGACCCAAACAAGAGTTTTTTATATCCAAATACTATTTCATTTAACGCAGCTGATTATTAAAAATATTATTCCACATTTTGGTACACAGGTATAACAAGTTGGACAAATTTTGTATGTCATCGAAAAATGTCTGTTTTTGTACCTGCTCACATGCTTGTGTTCTGCATGAACTGTTTCATCAACTAGATATTCACTTTTCACTATTGGTCTTATTATCCATCAAAATAACCAACCTATTTAAATGAATAGTGCTATGGTGATGACACATACATTTTATACATAAACACTGTAATTAAATAGGTAGAATATCAGGAACTAGGCTCCAAGAATGTAGTAATACAGTATTGATGTACTTTAAATTGACACCCAAAAGAGTCTAAAATTGGCCATGTATGTACATGTATAGCAACAGTTACTCTTAATGTCTTCCCATTATAACCACATTCAACTTTTTCAGTTCTATAATGTATGGAAAATTTCATATACATGTATGCAAGCTTGTAAAGAACACTTGCAACACTACAGGATTGAAACATAAAATGGTAGAGATATACAAGGTGATTCTTCTGCAAAAGAATCAAACTTTTAGTTTTTTTGGATCAAATTAACTATTAAAAAAAGAGATGATCATTAGATGTTCTATTCTAATTTATAAAGGATATTATTTATGTTTTAGATTGATGTCTTTACGTTCAATTCTTGAATCAAACTTTATTTTTAGATGTTCTATTCTATATTTATAAAGGATGTCATTTATGTTTTAGGTTGATGTCTTTATATTCAATTCTTGAATCAAACTTTATTTCCCATGTAATACTGACCTGTATGACAAACAAAGCTGCAATTACCTTAATGTTGTCCTTGCCATCTACAAAGCTGCAGAAACGTCAGTGTAAACCGATAATACAGATATTTTGCAGTTACAAAAGGATTTTTTTTTTTCTGAGGAAAATCCATGCAGGTTTATGTCATTAACTCAAATAAGCATTATTTCAGTAATACTGACCTTGTACAATAATGACATTGAAGCTGCAAGAATCTTGATTTCCATTGGCATCAGCAAAGGTCCAGGTAACTTGGGTGCTACCAATGTTAAAGAAATCTGTTGTTGAATGACTTTGAGAAGTAACTGTCGGGACTTGTCCACTGTTGTCTATTGCAGTAGGTGCAGTAAAGAAGACTTGAGTACTCGTTTGACCTAATCCAACCTCCCGCACGATATCCGCAGGGCATGTGGCAACAGGTGGCGTTCTATCAACTGATAGATAACATTTGGGAAGAATAAATGTACGAGGAGTCAGACTAATTTCAAATCTCTTCACAAGATTTTCACATTTTTACCTTCATACATGTGTCCATAGGAAATGTCCTTCCCTACATTTTCTCGATAATGAGACCCACAGTTTTCTGGAAGCTTCATAACATTTTAGTTGTATTATCCCCAGAGCTATCAAAGAGCTGCTAATTATACCTCAAATAAAGTTATGGCCTCAAATGATTCTAGAGTTATATAGCAATGACAAATAACACTAACATTCGGTGGGTAGCATATACACATACTGTATATTATCAGTTATATTAGGAACCAGGATTGTAAAATTGTAGCAATATTGTATGAATTAATTTAGTTTAAAATGGCAGAGAATGTGTCTTGCAAAGAACTACATGAAAAACATATCATAATTATGCAACTGATTGAGCTATAAAAAACTGAATGGCTATGCATATATAACAACATAGGCTCTAAAATATCTTACCAAGTTTAAAAGTAAGAAGAATCAAAATATGGAAATAATAATCTATGCTACAATTAATATAATGCAAGCATGCATTATACAGATGTATGCCTCCAGAATTCAATCTCGATGAATGGATCGATGCATAAAAAGGTTTTTAAAAATACTAAACAATGCTAACCATGAATGCTCGAAGAATAAACATAGTAAAAACTGAGAAGAAACTGTTCATCAAAAGACCCAAACAAGAGTTTTTTATATCCAAATACTATTTCATTAAACGCAGCTGATTATTAGAAATATTATTCCACATTTTGGTACACAGGTATAACAAGTTGGACAAATTTTGTATGTCATCAAAAAATGTCTGTTTTTGTACCTGCTCACATGCTTGTGTTCTGCATGAACTGTTTCATCAACTAGATATTCACTATTCACTATTGGTCTTATTATCCATCAAAATAACCAACCTATTTAAATGAATAGTGCAATGGTGATGACACATACATTTTATACATAAACACTGTAATTAAATAGGTAGAATATCAGGAACCAGGCTCCAAGAATGTAGTAATACAGTATTGATGTACTTTAAATTGACACCCAAAAGAGTCTAAAATTGGCCATGTATGTACATGTATAGCAACAGTTACTCTTAATGTCTTCCCATTATAACCACATTCAACTTTTTCAGTTCTATAATGTATGAAAAATTTCATATACATGTATGCAAGCTTGTAAAGAACACTTGCAACACTACAGGATTGAAACATAAAATGGTAGATATATACAAGGTGATTCTTCTGCAAAAGAATCAAACTTTTAGTTTTTTTGGATCAAATTAACTATTAAAAAAAGAGATGATCATTAGATGTTCTATTCTAATTTATAAAGGATATCATTTATGTTTTAGATTGATGTCTTTACATTCAATTCTTGAATCAAACTTTATTTTTAGATGTTCTATTCTATATTTATAAAGGATGTCATTTAAGTTTTAGGTTGATGTCTTCATATTCAATTCTTGAATCAAACTTTATTTCCCAAGTAATACTGACCTGTATGACAAACAAAGCTGCAATTACCTTAATGTTGTCCTTGCCATCTACAAAGCTGCAGAAACGTCAGTGTAAACCGATAATACAGATATTTTGCAGTTACAAAAGGATTTTTTTTTTCTGAGGAAAATCCATGCAGGTTTATGTCATTAACTCAAATAAGCATTATTTCAGTAATACTGACCTTGTACAATAATGACATTGAAGCTGCAAGAATCTTGATTTCCATTGGCATCAGCAAAGGTCCAGGTAACTTGGGTGCTACCAATGTTAAAGAAATCTGTTGTTGAATGACTTTGAGAAGTAACTGTCGGGACTTGTCCACTGTTGTCTATTGCAGTAGGTGCAGTAAAGAAGACTTGAGTACTCGTTTGACCTAATCCAACCTCCCGCACGATATCCGCAGGGCATGTGGCAACAGGTGGCGTTCTATCAACTGATAGATAACATTTGGGAAGAATAAATGTACGAGGAGTCAGACTAATTTCAAATCTCTTCACAAGATTTTCACATTTTTACCTTCATACATGTGTCCATAGGAAATGTCCTTCCCTACATTTTCTCGATAATGAGACCCACAGTTTTCTGGAAGCTTCATAACATTTTAGTTGTATTATCCCCAGAGCTATCAAAGAGCTGCTAATTATACCTCAAATAAAGTTATGGCCTCAAACGATTCTAGAGTTATATAGCTATGACAAATCACACTAAAATTCGGTGGGTAGCATATACACATATATTATCAGTTATATTAGGAACCAGGATTGTAAAATTGTAGCAATATTGTATGAATTAATTTAGTTTAAAATGGGAGAGAATGTGTCTTGCAAAGAACTACATGAAAAACATATCATAATTATGCAACTGATTGAGCTATAAAAAACTGAATGGCTATGCATATATAACAACATAGGCTCTAAAATATCTTACCAAGTTTAAAAGTAAGAAGAATCAAAATATGGAAATAATAATCTATGCTACAATCAATATAATGCAAGCATGCATTATACAGATGTATGCCTCCAGAATTCAATCTCGATGAATGGATCGATGCATAAAAAGGTTTTTAAAAAATACTAAACAATGCTAACCATGAATGCTCGAAGAATAAACATAGTAAAAACTGAGAAGAAACTGTTCATCAAAAGACCCAAACAAGAGTTTTTTATATCCAAATACTATTTCATTAAACGCAGCTGATTATTAGAAATATTATTCCACATTTTGGTACACAGGTATAACAAGTTGGACAAATTTTGTATGTCATCGAAAAATGTCTGTTTTTGTACCTGCTCACATGCTTGTGTTCTGCATGAACTGTTTCATCAACTAGATATTCACTATTCACTATTGGTCTTATTATCCATCAAAATAACCAACCTATTTAAATGAATAGTGCAATGGTGATGACACATACATTTTATACATAAACACTGTAATTAAATAGGTAGAATATCAGGAACCAGGCTCCAAGAATGTAGTAATACAGTATTGATGTACTTTAAATTGACACCCAAAAGAGTCTAAAATTGGCCATGTATGTACATGTATAGCAACAGTTACTCTTAATGTCTTCCCATTATAACCACATTCAACTTTTTCAGTTCTATAATGTATGAAAAATTTCATATACATGTATGCAAGCTTGTAAAGAACACTTGCAACACTACAGGATTGAAACATAAAATGGTAGATATATACAAGGTGATTCTTCTGCAAAAGAATCAAACTTTTAGTTTTTTTGGATCAAATTAACTATTAAAAAAAGAGATGATCATTAGATGTTCTATTCTAATTTATAAAGGATATCATTTATGTTTTAGATTGATGTCTTTACATTCAATTCTTGAATCAAACTTTATTTTTAGATGTTCTATTCTATATTTATAAAGGATGTCATTTATGTTTTAGGTTGATGTCTTTATATTCAATTCTTGAATCAAACTTTATTTCCCAAGTAATACTGACCTGTATGACAAACAAAGCTGCAATTACCTTAATGTTGTCCTTGCCATCTACAAAGCTGCAGAAACGTCAGTGTAAACCGATAATACAGATATTTTGCAGTTACAAAAGGATTTTTTTTTCTGAGGAAAATCCATGCAGGTTTATGTCATTAACTCAAATAAGCATTATTTCAGTAATACTGACCTTGTACAATAATGACATTGAAGCTGCAAGAATCTTGATTTCCATTGGCATCAGCAAAGGTCCAGGTAACTTGGGTGCTACCAATGTTAAAGAAATCTGTTGTTGAATGACTTTGAGAAGTAATTGTCGGGACTTGTCCACTGTTGTCTATTGCAGTAGGTGCAGTAAAGAAGACTTGAGTACTCGTTTGACCTAATCCAACCTCCCGCACGATATCCGCAGGGCATGTGGCAACAGGTGGCGTTCTATCAACTGATAGATAACATTTGGGAAGAATAAATGTACAAGAAGTCAGACTTATTTCAAATCTTTTCACAAGATTTTCACATTTTTACCTTCATACATGTGTCCATAGAAAATGTCTTTCCCTACATTTTCTCGGTAATGAGACCCACAGTTTTCTGGAAGCTTAACATTTTAGTTGTATTATCCCCAGAGCTATCAAAGAGCTGCTAATTATACCTCAAATAAAGTTATGGCCTCAAACGATTCTAGAGTTATATAGCAATGACAAATCACACTAAAATTCGGTGGGTAGCATATACACATATATTATCAGTTATATTAGGAACCAGGATTGTAAAATTGTAGCAATATTGTATGAATTAATTTAGTTTAAAATGGCAGAGAATGTGTCTTGCAAAGAACTACATGAAAAACATATCATAATGATGCAACTGATTGAGCTATAAAAAACTGAATGGCTATGCATATATAACAACATAGGCTCTAAAATATCTTACCAAGTTTAAAAGTAAGAAGAATCAAAATATGGAAATAATAATCTATGCTACAATTAATATAATGCAAGCATGCATTATACAGATGTATGCCTCCAGAATTCAATCTCGATGAATGGATCAATGCATAAAAAGGTTTTTAAAAAATACTAAACAATGCTAACCATGAATGCTCGAAGAATAAACATAGTAAAAACTGAGAAGAAACTGTTCATCAAAAGACCCAAATAAGAGTTTTTTATATCCAAATACTATTTCATTAAACGCAGCTGATTATTAGAAATATTATTCCACATTTTGGTACACAGGTATAACAAGTTGGACAAATTTTGTATGTCATCGAAAAATGTCTTTGTTTGTACCTGCTCACATGCTTGTGTTCTACATGAACTGTTTCATCAACTAGATATTCACTACCGGTATGCACTATTGGTCTTATTATCCCCAAAACTAACCAACCTATTTCATTGAATGGAGCTATTGTGATGACTCATACATTTTATACATGAACACTGTAATCTAATAGGTAGAATATCAGGAACCAGGCTTCAAGAATGTAGTAATACAGTATTGATGTACTTTAAATTGACACCCAAAAGAGTCTAAAATTGGCCATGTACACTGTATGTATAGCAACAGTTACTCTAATGTCTTCCCAAGTTATAACCACATTCAACTTTTTCAGTTCTATAATCTATGACACAGTTCATGTACATGTATGCAAGCTTTTAAAGAACACTTGCAACACTACAGGATTGAAACATAAACTGGTAGATATATACAAGGTGATTCTTCTGCAAAAGAATCAAACTTTTAGTTTTTTTGGATCAAATTAACTATTAAAAAAAGAGATGATCATTAGATGTTTTATTTTTTATTTATAAAGGATATCATTTATTTTTTTAGGTTGATGTCTTTACATTCAATTCTTAAATCAAACTTTATTTCCCAAGTAATACTGACCTGTATGACAAACAAAGCTGCAATTACCTTAATATATTCCTTGCCATCTACAAAGCTGCAGAAACATCAGTGTAAACCGATAATACAGATATTTTGCAGTTACAAAAGGATTTTTTTTTTAATTTCTGAGGAAAATCCATGCAGGTTTATGTCATTAACTCAAATAAGCATTATTTAAGTAACACTGACCTTGTACAATATTGACATTGAAGCTGCAAGAATCTTGATTTCCACTGGCATCAGCAAAGGTCCAGGTAACTTGGGTGTTACCAATGGTAAAGAAATCCGTTGTTGCATGAGTTTGAGAAGTAATTGTCGGGGCTAGTCCACTGTTGTCTATTGCAGTAGGTGCAGTAAAGAAGACTTGAATACTCGTTTGACCTAATCCAACCTCCCGCTGGATATCCGCAGGGCATGTGGCAACAGGTGGCGTTCTATCAACTGAAAGATAAAATTTGAGAATAATAAATAATTGAGGAGTCAACCAATTTCAAATCTTACTCAGTAAGCTACTGAATTGATTTGTGGCATCTGCCTTGCACAATCACATTGATTCATATGGTTTGCTCTGTACTAACCAACATGAGTTTACGGCAGGAAGAAGTTGCGTGACCCAATCGGTTAATGTATTACACAACTGGAGTTCTTCCATGGACAAGAGACACATACCTGCCAACATTTGAAAATAAGAATTAGGAATTTTTAGCACGATATGCCTTTGAAAATAAGAAATCGCACTTGCAGCGGCAGTGTATTATGGCAATACGCAGTAAATCTGTACCAAAAAGCGAATAAAAATTTGCTGCTCGATCATGCAGCCATTCAATGCACATAATACATGAACTCTGAAATCGCAGCACATTATAAAACAAGCTTAACTTGGCTTTAGCACTAAATAAATGTATTAAAAAATTTATTTAAAAAAATTATTTTAAAAAAAAAATTGAAATTTTGAAAATTCGGAATATCCAGATTTTCAGGTCCTAGAAATCCCCCGAAACAGAATATTCCGGATTATTCGGAAGGGTTGGCAGGTATGGAGACATCAAACAAGAATAGATGCTGTGTTCCTTGATATTTCAAATGCCTTTGACAAAATGCCTCACCCTGTCTTGCTCTCTAAACTAGCTGTAGATTTCAATATCCAGGGTCAATTGTGGCACTGGATATGTTCATTTTCCTCTGGGCAGATTCAACGTGTTATTTTCATGGGCTCTACCTCCAATCAGGGGTACCCCCAAGGGAGTGTCCTTGAACCAAAGCTGTTCAACTTATTTGTCAACGACTTGCCTCTCTCAGATTTTCCCAAATGTGTTCTCTTTGCTGATGATGTACTCCGATTGATGAAGTCCAATTCTAAGATGATCTAAATGCTCTGCATTTTTGGGCCCATAGGAATAACATGATATTCAACGCAGCAAAGACTAAGATTATGCATGTGACAGAAAAAAATTGTGCCATTGATTCGCTAAAAAGTAAAAGAAGGGACTGTTAAGGAGCTGCCGCGCAACGCAACTCCGCATCCAGCCGAAGTTGCAATTTCGCATTACAATGTACATTATGATAGGGGTATATATCGGATACCAAATCTGCCTGCGATACATTACTAGCTTAAAGGGATCTGTTGCAGAGGGCGCTGACACAAAATAATTTTTTTGTGAAATAATGAAAAACTGAGTGTCAAATTTTAAAGAACATACAATTTAAATGACAAAATCATCTTTGTTTGATCAAAATTGGTTCAGAGACGGCTGAAATATCCATAATTATTACGATTTCTAATACTAATTGTGTACCACCACAAATATTAGATAATTTGAAAAATCCTTTGAAAAAATGAAATAGCGCCTTTTACGTCGTATTTCAGCCAATGCTGATGTTGGATTTTTTGTTGGCATTTGCGTGTTGTATTACGTCGAGCCGAGCCGGTCCATGTATTGTTATTTTAAATTAAATAATTAATTAACGGTCACCATATTTTTTTTTAAAGTGGAGCTAAATTGGTATGATCCTATTGGCTAAATTTCCTACATTTTGGGGTCTAAAATTACCTTCATAGCAATTTTATGTTCTAAAAGGGCACTAGAAATGTCATACATAAAAATAAGAGCAATAACCATGCACTAATTTGAAGGCATTCGCGGTCTGAAAACAGAACTCAACTATCCCTTTGACACAAGCCGATTTTTGTACTCTCACAAACAAATGCCTCCTGTTCATCCAAGCGTGAGCACATACCACACAAAAATTATACTTAATGATTTGGGATAAAACACTCTTTCAAAAGATGTATAATAGTCTTCTGTTCATAGATAATTTTTTCAATGATTAGCAATTTTCTAGGTGTAAACTTTAATTTGACTCACACGGTACTGTTTAAATCCTTATCATTGGACATACACATGTGATGTTGTGATGCAATGGTAGACTTACTTGCTACAAGATTGACAAAGAATTGACAGGTTGCAGCAAAATTGTTTGATCCATCTCTAAATCTGTAGGTAACTTGAGTTTGACCAACTACAAAGAAAGCCCCTGGTAAGTGGCTGCTGGAATCAAGAATGGCTACACCACTGTTGTCCGTTGCAGTAGGTGTAACAAAATTAACCGATGCAGATGTTGTACCAAACTCGACAGTCTGGGTGAAATCCTGAGGACAGTTCACCACTGGTGGAATAGTATCAACTGAAAGATTCAAATAAGATGAAATTGGAAAAAAACATTTTAAAGAAATATCTCAAGGGCAATTTCTTATAAATAAAAAAGAAAATGTTTACAATGTTTCAACTATTGATGTGCGTATACAGTGCGTCCTAGAAAAAACGAAACCAAGAATTATTGATGTTTTTTAATAACTTAATCACAATTATAATTAATAAATGACACATATCTGTAAAACTTAGATTCTCCTCTTTCATTTGATGCAACTCATATGATGAATATTTCTTGCATGAGTGATTAAAAGCAATTTGAAGAGAGGAAACCAAAAGGCCATTTGAAGAGAGGAAACCAAAAGGCAATTTGAAGAGAGGAAATCAAAGAGTCATTTGGCGGACGGTATCTGAATTTCAAAGAGAAAATCACATTGGTTGTGCTAGATGTGCATGTATATCACTAGCCACAGTAAGGCAACGTATCTTGGTCATCAAGAAATGCATCTGTGTCATGAATTTAGCACTCTTACTCCAAAGTTAAATAAGGTTACTTTTTATGGAGAGTTCATCACACCTGTGACCTAGGGCAGTTTTTCAGTCACCTCTTAGTCAAATGGAGCGCCTTGAGCACCTTGCATGGTGGATATGTGCGCTATATAAATATCTGATATTATACAACTCACTCCCAGATCCTAATCAAATGATTGGTCATGCACGGTCACGTGTGGTTCCTTTACTGAGCTTATTGCACTCGTTTTCATGAAAAGGAGTGCAATATTTTCCAGTACTATTGAACTCGTTTTCAGAGCGCAGTAGTGCGCGTAGAGGTTCGAGCGCTATACTGCGTGAGCATGAGCCAATTCTTGCGCAGTACTATGTGTAAATGAGTATAGAGGTAATTAGTGCGCTTGCTATATCTATAGCTATGTGTGCGCACTAACTTAAGCCTCATTAAACCTGAGATTTATTTGTCAGCCATATACTGTCACAAAACAATCTTGAATGAATTCTTTTTACATCAAATAACAAGGATCTAGGAGTTTCGTTGTATAAAACAAATGATGCATGTTTTCATTCGTTCATTATACGATCTATCCGCCCTCGTTGATGCTGTGTGTATCTATCACACTCAGCTTAACTGCTTCATGTGATAGATACACACAGCCTCAACTCGAGTGTGGATAGATCGTATAATGAACTCATGCGCATGCATCATTTTTATATTATTAAAATGCATTATCTTTTGATAGTGGAGTCCAAAATATTAAGCCTTAAACACAGGTTCAAATTTTTCTCTAAATATAACCCTATTTTGGGTATATCGAGTGCAATACAAAAAAGTACCCTCTTTTCCAAAACATTTGCCCGATATTGATAGTAAAAGGGGCATTTTCCTTTTTGAAACATGTGAAATTTTGGGGGTGAAATCCATGAACATCCCTGTAAATACCGGTAGCCCCTTTTTCATGAACTATCATGCACATGCACACACAAAGTCACTATGGTGTGACATAACCAGGGACAGATTTAATCCACTAAATGTGATTCATGACTTAAGGACATGCACCTGTGTTATAAATTTTGATGATCATACCTGAACACTGTTAGATGTTATTCAGAATACAGAGCAGAGAGTACAGAATTAGACATTTCAAACAAAAACGGCCAAGGTCAAGGAATTTACCAAAGTAGTTGTTATAATTAACTAATGCTACGGTCACAAAGGTTTGTATGAACGATAATTTTGTACGAATCTCCGTTTTTCCATTGTTTTCCCAAATTTCCAGTCTGAAAATAGTTTGTACGGCGTTCGTAGCAGTTCGTAATGGCATTTGTGACCGAGGCTTAAGGAAAACATTTTATATTCAATGTTGCTAATCATGTACATATTGTAAGGCCATGCATCCAGTTATATAAAACTCAATCAGTTGCATATTGTAGATTTAGACATATTTTCTGTTATTTTTAAACTAGATTGGATTAATCAAGAAGATTTGAATTATATCCTAAGATCCAAGTGCAGTAAATGTCATTGCTGATTTCGCTTATTATTTTACCATTCCATTCTACACCCTAATAAAGGTGAAGATAAGTAATCAAAAACTGAGGATTGCAGAACAAAAAAGGGGATAAAAAGTGGATTTTGCTTGAGCATTTTAAGGAATTTATTTCTGCCAGATACCCATTTACCTCACCAGGGTGGCCATTATCACAAATGTAGATTAAAGTCTTGCGAAAGGATATTAGTGCTGTGACAGGGATTTGAACCCAGGTGTTAAATGGGTACCGGTAGGAAGGAATTCCTTAAAATGCTGTGAGCGTCGAATCGGCAGCCTAGCATAGCCGGGTAATGTTGGAGCGCCTTGAGGACCTTGCAAGGTCGATACGTGCACTATATAAGAATCCAATATTATTATTATTATGAATAGCAAATCATGTTGATTATTAGATACATTCTTCTACATTTATGTAAGATATTTTTCATTTTTAGGTAGATGCCTTTATATTCATATCTTATATCAAACTTAGTGTAATCTACATTTGCCACTCTCCACCCAGGTGTAAATGGGTACCTGATATGCTTGAGCGCCAGTTACTTTGGCAGCTCGGCTATAACCAGGGTAATGTGTGTAAAGCGCCATGAGTGTCAGAGCCTGGCGGATACCGGCACTATATGAATATCCATATTCCTATTCATATGCATCGCGAAAATTCTACATCATTCGGGCCCTAAAGCGTTATCGGGCCCTTGTGGAAAACCTCCTCACAATTTATACGTGCTCCATCCGACCTGTGCTTGAGTAGTGTGTTCCAGTTTGGAATTCATCCATTACATCCGAACAGGTCAATGATATCGAGAGATTAAAGAAAAGAGCCCTCCGTATCATTTGTCATGATTGATACCACAGCTGTGACCATGCCCTCCATATTTCAGGTCTACAATCCCTCTCTGACAGAAGGGAACATCTTTGCCTAAAAGGTTGGCAGAATCGCTTTACAAACTCTTTCGCGACTGGCTCCCAGAGATGTAGAGCACGAATCGACGATTGAGACACAGTGAAAGATTGAGAGACTTTAATTAAATGCTGAATTGAAAAATTGAAAGACTGAGAAATAGCACTTTTCCCTACTCGGTAAGGACTCTGAACGAACATTTTTTCTGATGTCAATAATTGTGTATATCTGACATCACCCTTGCGGTAATATAGAGTGAAATGCATTGCCAGTGATAGTGCAATAGGTGTATAATCATTGAATTCTTTAATCAATTATCAATTATTTGATATTTAATTGTGAATTAATATTTATATTAATAGCATTGAATTTTAAATAACGATTAATACTTGAATATGAATGAATTCACACCGATCACCGAGTATATTTAGCAAGTGCAATATGTTTATTTTTATTTTTTATAATCAACAAATTTTGATATTCTTCGCGAATTTGCAATGTTACTCGCTTTATTTCTTAATCCATTATGAAATTCAATTCCAATATTTCCAATATTTTCTACAAACGACACAAAATCAACCCTTCGGCATGCTAAATTTGTAATAGTAATGGTTTTAATGTTAATTTCAATAGTATATTTTTAGAATGTTTCAGTTAAGATTTTAATTGCTTATTAATCAAACTTAATGATAGTTGCCATTATTATTGTCATTTGGTCACTTTTATTTGAATTTCAATGTTCATTGCCTTGACTGTTTTAATAATTATTGTATAATTACTTTTATCATGAAAATATATTTGTAAACTGTTGTAACCATTGCAATTCAGCCTTTGGACTGCGAGAATGGATAATTATCAATAAAATCCTTCAATCAACAATCAAATCAATCATATCTTAAATCAAACTTAGTGTATTTCCAGTAATACTGACCTAGTATGACAAAAAAGCTGCAAGTACTCTAATGTTGTTCTTGTCATCTACAAAGCTGCAGATAACTTACGTCAGCTAGTGTAATCGATTTTAAAGATATTTTGTAGTTACAAAGGAAATGTTTTATTTCTGAGATAGATGCATGCAGGTTCATATTATAAACTCAAAAAATCGTTATTTCAGTAATACTGACCTTGTACAACAATAACATTAAAGCTGCAAGAAGCTTGATTCCCACTGCCATCAGCAAAGGTGTAGGTAACTTGGGTGATACCAAGGCCAAAGACATCATTTGGTGCATGAGTTTGAGAAACAATTGTCGGGACTACTCCACTGTTGTCTGTTGCAGTAGGTGCAATAAAGAAGACTTGACTACTCGTTTGACCTAATCCAACCTCCCGCTGTGTATCCGCAGGGCATGTGGCAATAGGTAACACTCTATCAACTAAAAGATAAAATTTGTGAAGAATAAACGTATGAAAATTGAGGACGTATGAGGAGTTGGACTAATTTCAAATCTCATCGTCAGATTTTCATATTTTTACCTGTTTACATTACATGTGTCCATATAAAATGTTCTTCAACTATATTCTCTCTGTAATGAAAACCAAAATTTTCAATAAATTTGACCCATAAAGTTTAATATTTGGTTGTACAGGGTTCAAGTCCTTTGGCAAGACATTAATCTAATTTGCCACTCTCCACCCAGGGGTAAATGGGTACCTGCTATGCTTGAGTGCCAATTACTTTGGCAGCTCAGCTATAACCAGGGTAATATGTGATTTAAAGCCCATGAGCGTCAGAGCCAGGCGGATACTGGCGCTATATAAATATCCATATTTACATGTATTATCCCCAAAGCTAATAACGGGTGGCTAATTCAATTCAAGTGTCTGCCTCAAATGATTCTAAATCTATTTTGCAATGACACATAACTCACAAATTTTGTAGATAAAAAATATACACATTCTTCATAATAAAGTTATGAGGAGGTACACGGATTTGGAAAAATTTAAATTGGTGGAATATCATTAACTGCAAAATGAATAGTTAGTGCTAGGTACATAGATGGCTCCAACAGGGATATGGTGTTCACCTACATTTTTTTTGCAGAATCTGAAGTAAAATTTAATGCTAAAAGCAATGCCACCGACAGATTTTAAAAAAATCGGTGCTCAAAGTGCCTAAATGTTATGTTTTGGTGGCCGGCCAAAAAATGTTTGGATGCATTTCCTGATTTATATTATGCATGGAATATTTAAAGGAAATAGCAACTTAGCAGAACAAATTTTTGCTATAAATACCATGCTTACTGCATAATCTACAACAAATAAATAAACTACCTAGATTATCATAGAGGGGTTAAGTGAAATAAAGGCAGAAAGACATAAATACATGAATCTGCTACTACTACTACTCTTACTACTACTACTACTACTACTACTACTACTACTACTACTACTACTACTACTACTACTACTTGTACTACTACCTTTATACTACTAGTCTACTACTCTACTACTACTACTACTCCTACTACTACTACTAATACTAGTACTACTACTACCACTATTACAACTACTCCTACTACTCATAATTCTAATACTATAGTATTATTACTACAACTACTACTAGTACTACTACTGCTACTGCTAATTGCAGTACTGCTACTACTACTTGAACTACTACACTACTATACTACTACTACTACTACTACTACTACTACTACTACTACCACTACCACTACTACTACTATTACTACTGCTACTTACTTCTACTAATCACACTACTACTACTACTACTACTACTACTACTATTATGCTACTACTAACACTACTACTACTACCACTACTATTACTACTACTACTACTACTATAGTTACTACCGCAGCTTCTGCTACATCTTGGTATTTCTAGAACTCCATTGCAATTGTTTTTAAATGTACGTCTGTTATTAATACTATTGCTACTCCAGCTGCAATGAGAAACTTGGAGATCATTAGAGGCCATGAATTGAAATTTCCTGAAATTATTTGACTGTTATTTCAGGTATATATTCTTGCTTTGTCTATTCATCAAAATACATCATTAGGTGTTTTTTTTTGTAACTAACACACTTGCTCATGACATAAATTATCAAACTGAACATCATGTTCAATTAAGCTGCACAAATCTGCAATAATATAATAATATAAATTCTGCTTTACATGTCCTTCATCTACCATAATGCATTCCTAGTCCATGGCAATACCAGTGATACAAGACACATTTCCATAATTGACATAACAATATGGATAAGGAATATCCAAGTTGTTATTTCAAGTGTAAAGGGTGATCCGGTTGTTGCACTTTGTGATAAACATAAAAATTGCTTGATACACCATGGTTGATCCATAAAGTCATCTGTGTTGGATACAATATAGTATACAATTCAGTACTTATATAAGTCAGAATTGAATTTTCCTCATTTTTAGGCTTAGAGAAAATATTTAGCCAACTTCAGTATTCAGTTCAATATTTATGGATAAGTATTTACGCTACTTCTAATTTCAAAGCTGTGCAAGAATGCACAAATTACAAAGCAGGTAGTTAATGCAACATGTTTTTATATTGCACATAATTGCATTAAAAAGGTCATCAGTAAGTATTTTTGCTGAGAATCATTTACTGCAACACATAATTGCATGTAATTTAAATAGTACTAGCTTGAGCCAGCTTACTTAGCTAAGCTGACATAATACTGACATAATTCATAATACTGACATAATTCAAGTAGATAGTGACTGGAGTGACTGGTTCTGAGGCATCTTCAGTTAAAGTGGCTACTCCAAGGGTCAAGTAGCATATTACTAACACTAGTCCGAAACTGACATAGGCTACTGGTTACATTTTAAGAACAGTATACGGTAGTTCAATCAATTTATACTTTCTTTTTTTATAACTGTGTTGTGATAAAAAGTGAGGGGAAAATGCATTTATGGACAAAAAAGAGATGTCCAGGGATGTACTTGCACATAGAAGATTAAAGCTGGTCATTGCTGGGCAAGCTAAACAATTAAGAGCTGTTAGTCCAATCAATATGTTATATAGCTAAGCAATTATTGGTGCTCCTGCTTTATGTTAGCCTATTCCTTTTGTCTGTGCTTCGACTGCTTCTATGCATTGGCTAGGTTGGGTATAATACCTGCAATCACAGAAACAGTGAATTCACAAGTGGCTACATTGCCTCGCATATCAACGCCAGTGTATATCACGATAACTGTTTGCCCTGCATCAAAGAATGATCCACTTTGTCTCGATGAAACAAAGCTTTGGACCCCGCTTGGGTCAAAAGCGAAAGGTTCAACCCATGTGATCAATGCTCCCGCATCATTTATGCCAACGGTTTCTGTTATGGAACCTGGACAGGTGAATGTTGGGCCTGTAATATCCACTGTAGTTGAAAGAAACACACATAAAGCAAATGATAGAACTTCCTAACTTCATGTATTCAAGAGTCATGTCAGACCAAGTTATCTTGTCATTTTAAATATGGTGTGTACAAAAATAATCAAACTAGATTTTAAATGGCCATATCTCAACCAAACATGATGAATCTTTGTACTTGAGTGTTCTTACCAAATCACCCACAATAAAGGCTTGTTCAGATATGAGGCAGCAAAACCCCTGCGTTTTTAATGACGTAAAGTGTAATACACTTCACATTTCTGTATCTTATAACATAGAGCTCAGTGTATACGTACAAGTCCATTGTTGCACAAGATTGTCATTCATGTTTAAGACATGAACAAAATGTGGTGGCTTTTTTTGTGGCTGTTCACAGCGTCATATCTCAATAAGCTTAAAGCAATGGTCACAACTCAATGTGGCGACCGATCGATTTGTAGCCTGCTCGGTCGCCGCTGGAAGATAGGCATCGCCCAATGATTTTTGGAGAAGTCGAGGAGGCTGTAGAGCCCCAGCGATGCCTGGGCGGTGCCCTGTCAATTTCCCGCCGTTCGCCTGTCAAATTTGGATCAAAACTGGGCGAAATCAGGGAACTTCTTCGGGCAGCGTCCCGGCAGTGACTGACTAATGAACCCCTGATTCGCGAGCGGTCTCCTACCAGCCACCGGCTTATTCTAAAGAAATTGCTCAGGGGCCAGGAGGTGAACGGCGAGGCACCAAAATACGCTCGAGCGTTTGCCATCAAGCGATATAGGTCAAAAATCAAGGCCGCTAGGTCAAAGGCTGCCAACCAATTTCGAACTCACCGCCCAGTGACCGACAGATCTCCCAGCGGCGACTGCTCAGCAGTCTTTGACCTAGCGGCTTCGATTTTTTACCTAAATCACTCGACGGTGAAAGCTCGATTAGGTCGGTGCCCAGGCACCGAGAGCATTTTAGGTCGCAAGTGAAAAGTGAGCAGGCGCCGCCGAATTTTAACTTCGCGTTAAAACTTCAGCGGCGACCAAGCGATGCTATGAAAACAAGCGGAGCCTGGGCAAAATTGGCTAAAAACTCGCCACCCGGCCGCCGAGCAGGCCACTTTTGGGGGATGTGACCATAGCTTTAAGCGTATACCCATTGCCAGAACATTTGATGTAAAATGTACTTACATGTGCTTCTTCAACTCGTGATATTTCAATCATTATGACACAGAGGGAATTTACTGTATTGAAGAAATATAGTTTTACCTACCGGTAGTCATCTCAAATAATAACAGACTACCTGAACTCTTACAACTTAACACTTACCCGGGTAATCCTAAGAAGAAAAGAGGAAAATCCAGGACAATAGAAGTCCTAAAATCAACTGTTAATCCACAAGACAGCTAAATAATCCTGGTCCTCATTTGAATAGAACTGTGTAACCACAGAATACAACTTTTACTATACAGTGTGAGTCAAAAAAAAGTTTACACCTAGAAAATTGGTAATTATTTAAAAAAATCATCAATGAACATTAAATTGTTATATGTCTTATGATAGGGTGTTTTATCCCAAATCCTTTGGTACCATTTTTGTGTGGTATGTGTTCACGCTTGGATAAACAGGGGACATTGTTTGCGAGAGTGAAAACATCGACTTGCGCCAAATTTGCCTATGTGATGTTTGAATAAAACAATTGGGATTTGGGTATTAATTCGGTCTTTGCAGATCCAAATAACATCCCTAACAAAATTTATCATGCCACACATATCAAATATCGAATATCAAATATCAACGAACATTTGTGCGTGCGTGTGTGGGTTTGTGTGACTTTGCCCTTTGCAAAAAAACATATGCAATGCATTTCATTTGATACATTCAATCCATTCTCTCACTCCGCTAATCCCAACATAATACATACTGTAGGCATCACTTTGGCGCAAGTCGATTTTTGCACTCGCAAACAATGCCACCTGTTCATCCAAGCATGAACACATACCACACACAAATGGTACCAAATGATTTGGGATAAAACACTCTTTCATAAGATGTTTAATTATTTACTGTTCATAGATGATTTTAAAAATGATTAGAAATTTTCTAGGTGTAAACTTTTTTTGACTCACTCGGTACAGTGCGTCCCAGATAAAACGACACCGAGAATTATCAATGTTTTATCATAACTTAGTCACAGTTATAATTAACAAATGACACATATTTGGAAAGCTTAGAACCTCCTCTTTCATTTGATGCAATTCATATAATGCATATTTCATGCATGAGTGATTAAAATTAATTTGAAGAGAGGAAACCAAAAGTCATTTTGAAACAATCTTATCACTGGATGAAGAACATGCCAGGGCATGCACTCTCACCCAAATTTCCTCCATAAAAACAGCAGTATTCAGAGGATTACCAATGAGGTCGAAACCAAGTGAAATCCAAATTTTTTCAGAACTTTCGTCAATTACGATTGACTCAAAATAATAATAATAATAATAATAATAATAACAATATTCGGTTCTTGTATAGCCCATATCACATTATATAACGTCCCTATGGGTTTCCAAAGAGCTTTGGACATGATTACTCTAGCTTTATTTGACAGCCATCAGCACACGGTGCATTTCAAGGAATAATCCTACCAGGTACCAATTTACCTCACCCGTCTTGAGTGTGGCAAATGAGGATTAAAGGTACAGTTCTGATCATGCGATTGCATTGTGAAAGAAACGTGGAATCGATCAGAAAAGGTTGATCATCTAGCATACATGTATAAGTATTGGTGTGTACTGTAAGGTTCTGGAATCATCAAAACGATAAGAAATTTGGCCCAGTCTTGGTAAAGTTACAAGCACTGTACACAGAAAGATATATGGGACTACCTTATATCTATCCAGTCCAGATAGATATATTAATTAATCAAATATATCAATTAGTAGGCTGTTTCCCGGCAAAATTTGTATCATCACGTATTAGTCGAAACATATTCTTTTACATGATTGGTAATAAGAGCTTCCATTTAAATTTTTGAGAGGGGGGGGGCATTTCCAAAACTGGTCTTTACCTTTAATGTCTTGCCAAAGGACAATTAGTGCAGCAGCAGGACTCGAACTGCGGACTATTATTTGTCTGCAGTACGATTGTATAGCAGACAAATGTTGTTTGTATCGTTAATGAATGCATACTTATGTTGGGTCCGGGGCTGTGCCCCGATGGAATGTAATTTGCATAGGCAGCTCGTACAGGTGTGCGAGCTAATTCTGCCACGGAGACCAGGGCGTGGCATGAATTAGTGTGTAATTGAATCATTCTAGCTTGAGCTTTCAACGAGACAACTTTTATTTACAATAAAAGTGCGTTGTGTCATGTACTGTTACATGACTGTGTTTGAATAAGGTTTTCCAGAGTTTTTATGCTCGTTGAGTTTTATCTCTGGTTTTTTATCCTGGACCATGATAGGTCCGGTTTCCAGCGAAGGAAACGGTTTCCAGTGAAGGAAACGAGAAGAAATGTTTGTTAAACATTCATACTGAATAAATGGCCGGCTCTCAGTAGTCGTTGTCAGGCTATTCCACAATAATTGAAGTGTATTATTGTGTTATTTGTGTGTATTGGAAGTCAAGAGGGATGACAGACGAAATAATATGTGAGATTATAGGACAGACCTTGTGTTCCACAGTCTGGTGACATATCCACTAGACCACGACACCTCTACTAAAATTTTCTCAATAAACATATACCTGTACAGAGTAACTTATTTGGTATCATTCCAAAGGGTATTTCATTGTGGTAATTTTGACACCATTGTCATTGTTATTCAATACATAGTCAATTTATCAATTTTGGCGATGACGTTACGATGACGTTGCGATGACGTCACAAAATGTCACACTATATGGATACAAATGATTTCCAATTAGATTCATATATCTAGGTACGGTATAAGGTTCACAATTTTGTAAAGTCAATAATTGGTAGGATTGTCGTCCTATTGTTGTCTTGTGGTTCTTGAGATACCTTGACAACGAGGCTAATACCTGTAATGTTATAAATTGACTTATATGACCTTTGACTTGGATCTACTCAATCTAAAATCTAATCAGACCATCTTCCTATGGTGAAACATACTATCACCAAGTTTGAAGTTCATACCTTAAAGGGTATTCCAACCCTTGTAATAAGTTCATTTGTATGAAACCAGAAAAATAAGAGAAACATATAATGGCGAAAGTTTGAAATAAATCTGACCAATAATAAGAGAGTTATGAATGATTGAAATATGAAAATCACTAAAGGTATGCAAAATCTCAATTTGGCAGTTGTGTCAGTGGATCGTAACCTAGTCACGGACTACTCTTATGTTTGTCGTTTGCAAAAATATCATAAATTTCAGTTGTTCACCCTTGGGGCAGTACTCCAAATATGTTATGGATAGTGTATTATTTTAGGTCCTTTAAAGAGAAACGACCCTCCAGAGTCATATATTTTATATAGGGTGTGCTGGGATAAATACCATTCATTTCTCTCATCCTAAGAAATCTGGATATTGGACTTATTGATGTTGGTACTAGACTATTTTTATGTCTTTGAACATATTATCTAGCAGCTGAAAGATAATTATCTGCACAGCCATCAATATCAGAAGATTAAAATGGGGGGGGGGGGCATATTAAGGAGGAGACTAAATAAAGATATTGTCACTAGGGTCCTAAAGGCAAAATAATATAAATACAATATACTTACATACTGCCGTCCAAGTAACTTCAAAGCCCAGTAGCTCAATATTTTTGTCAGTTTTCCATGTGATGAATGCAGAATCTGTGTTGAACAGCGTTAGAGGTTGTGGCACAATACTATTCTCGTAAAAATATATCTGTTTCGATGGCGTATCTGTCCCGTTCAAATCCAGTATATCATCATACGTTAGACCTGCTCCAATATAAAGTTCATCCTTGCGTTGTTCTACTTGAAACGGATCACTGAAAACGAAGGTGATTTCAGTAGCTCCAGGAATGAACAAGAGGTAGACCCTTACTTCCCGGAAATTATATGGAGCTGGGTAGTTTGGTGAAGAGTATCTACCGCTTTGACACTCTGTTCCATAGCAAGATTCTAAAACCCTGGTAACTGGTTATGCAAACAAAAAGAAAGAAAAAACATAAAACAAATTTAGTTTCAGATTCAAAAGTATGTTATATGTATGTTTTGATAAATATTTGTTCTGCCATAAATACCGGTAAGAAACACTGGCTAAGTTTTTTGTCATATATATATATACATACACACACACACACACACACACAGTCATTTTTCAAAAGTTAAAGGCCACCTAGAATTGTGATGATAATTCTGTCACTGAGCTTGCATAATATTATCTCATTTAACAGTTACATACTAGGTATTTTACAGTGGTGCTATGATCCCACTTGACTATTTTTGGGGGGCAAAGGCAGGTGTTTTACGACTTAGGAACATGGTTTTAAAAAATGGCCAGGTTCAAAGGGCCCTCAAAGTGACCTTCCATCAAGAGGGCCACACTGATAATTTAAATGTCATTACAGTAAGGTAGGGCATAGCAAGACTGATGTGCACAATTCCATTACAAAATTTGAAAAAGAAATATGTGGTTGTTTATGTTGGGACGAATCCTGCTCAAACTCTCATTGAGATATCAATGGAGCTCTGACATAATTTAATTTTATATTTAAGCACCATCTTTTGCCGTTTGTTTGAGTACGTTATTTAATCATTAATTTAAGTTCAGATTTTCTTCGAGTTAATGCCCTTGTTGTGGGTGGTCTCATAATATATATATATATATGATGTAATAAAAACTGAATGATGAGTTGGAAACTAATTGTGAAATGAATCTTTCATCCATACATGAAAATATTCTTGGAGATCATCAAGCCATGAAAGTTAATTACAATGATGAAAAATTACAAAATTACTTACAGACATTCTGAGAGCAATCGTAACCCACTTGCATATTTGTACATAAACAAGCGTATGATGACACTGTAGATCCTGGTCTGTTGTAGCATGTCTCACCATTGGAACACTGGTTCGGCACACAAAATTCTGCAGAAACGGGCAAGATTGAACAAGAAAAGTGATTCAGCAGGAGAATTTTTGTTTTGAATGTGCATATTTGTTTCAATTATTACTACAGGACACAGGGTAGTGGGAAACCAGATACAGGATTCTCAATCTGAAGGGCGGGGAAAAAGTGGGGGGGGGGGGAATTGTCACATCTTTCAGAATCATACTTCTGTATCACTCTAGACTGAAAACAGAAATTAGATTCACACCAATTGTCACACTTTTCTAACAAAACATAATTACATCTTTCAAATATCTGACAAAGCAAGAAATTGTTCTTAGGTTATGTGGGGGGGGGGGGGGGTAGTGGAGGGGAAGGGGTAGGGGTGGAGGAGGAAGTAAGTTAGCATATATAACATTTGAACACATTATGGTGTTGCTTGTAAGTGTCGGCTTGCATAGTGATGTAGATGTACAGTAGGCTTGCGGGTGCACCATGTGAGAGAGAGGGAGGATTGAGGAGTCCTGAAAAAGGACTCTCGGTAATCTTTCTTGAGGGTTTGTAGTCCTGAAAAGGACTGTTGGTATAGTCTTGAAAAAGACTGTTGGTTATCTTTCTTAGCTTATAGTTCTAAGGAGAACTATAGCGCTTGGAGAGGATGAGTGGCGAGAGTGAGCCACTCCCGCCACTCATCCTCTCCAAGCTACTGTACATTATGGTTTATAATATTCACAGATGATTTAGTTTGGTCAGGGGACACACACACCTGCTGGATAGGACATATAATAACACATTGAAGAGCATTATGCCAGATATTTTCACAATTTTAATTTCACAACAATAAACATCTTTTATTGGGTTACACCCAAAGTGTTAAACATGAACTCTGCAGTCATTGGTGAAAAGATGACCCAACAAAACTGGTCATCTACTATTAAGGTAGGCCTACATGTACATCTCTTTAGGGTACGCATATGCGTGTTCCAACCGACCCCCCCTTTTCAGCTAAAGTCCGGTGTATAAAGTCAATACGGCTCGACCTTTTTCTTTTGTATACAAGCCTTTTTCAGCACCCCCCCCCCTTTCAGCAAAAGTCCGGTGTGTAAAGTCAATACAGGTCGACCTCTTTCTTTTGTTACGAAAAGGACATTTTGGCAACACAGATGGGGTCCGTCCGTTCTCGGAGTGGGGGGGGGGGGCCGGGATCTCTACAAAGCCAACATGGAAAATACACAAGTGCATGAATCTGCAAAATATGCTCCTGGATCATCTGTGTGTATTGTGTTAGTATTGAGTTGGCAAAATGAAGTGCCACCATGCAGAAAACATGAACTATCTGGCAAGGTATCTGCAAACACACGGTGTAAACACCTGGGACTTCTACCATGGTAGCGGTATTTCCATTTCTCTCCTTCTCCTTGTTAAACCATGTATTCTCCATGACTGGATCAGGTTCCATGTTCATTCCATATCTCCAGAGGATGCTGGTCTCAATTTGATGGCTATATATACACAGAGACTCCCAAAGATGTTTGGTGGCTGCACAGAGGTATACTGAGACTAGCTACCAGGAGTAATAATTCAGATAGTTTACACATGCGTACTCTGGAGCAAAAGACTGCCCCCCTCCCCCCCCCCCCAAAAAAAAAAAAATAATAATAATAATAATAATAATAATAATAATAATAATAATAATAATAATAATAATAATAATAATAATAATAATAATAATAATAATAATAATAATAATAATAATAATAATAATAATAATAATAATAATAATAATAATAATAATAATAATAGTAGTAGTAGTAGTAGTAATAATAATAATAATAATAATAATAATAATAATAATAATAATAATAATATCAAGTTAAGTTCAAATTCAATTTTATTGATCATGCACAATGACATGGCATAAAAATCATTTTCCGGCTGTTTATCAATTTAGTACATCAATTAACATACATGTGGGCCCTACTATTTATACAAAATACAAAATCAGGAATAAATACAGCAAACAATAGAACATGAGTACAGAATGGTATAGGCTTTGGTATAGAAACATAATGACACAAATTACAACCATAGACATACCAGAGATCATAACTGCTATATCATTATATGGTTAAATAGGCAGATTAATAAAGTTTAAATAAATGTGCAGGACATCCATACAGTGCATATCCATAATGACTGATTCTAGACCTAATAATAAGTAACAATTACCTCCTGAACCTTTCATTGTACAGTGTCATGGCATGTATGATAAATGACCCCCTAAATATATTTTTGTTTTAATTGACTTTCAGCAGCCGGACACAACCTGATTTGTTGAAAATAATGTGCATATGTAGAGGATGAGTTTTATCCTCAATGGTGTGATTGAACTTATCGTTTATAGCCGATTCCATTATCTCTTTGAGTTATTTAACCGGTAAGCAAATTTTACCTTACTTGCAGTTTTCAGTACCCTTATCAGTTTCATTTTGTTTTGAGAGGTGACACCAAAGAACCAGACAAGACAGGAGAAGAAGATAATTGGTTTGATGATGCTATCATAGAAGAAAAGAGGAGTCTCCCTTCTGATATTGAATGTTTTCAATTTCCTTAGGAGGTATAACCTTTTGACACAATGTTTTGAGTATTCCAACTTAAATCCTTGTCAATGTGGGTTCCTAGATATTTGTAGTTCGAAACCATCTCGATATCATCTTGATCAATAGCCAACGGCAAAAAGACATTATCCTTTATCCTGAAATCCACAATCATTTCTTTTGTTTTCTAAATATTAAGGATCAGTGACATTTGTTTACACCAAATAGCAAAATCATCCACCTTCGGCAAGTATAAGGTGTAACAGGAAATAACATGGAAAACTAGGAGGATGCCTGAGCAATGATCCATGTTGATTCACATTTTCATCCTTAACCCATTGTCTACCTGGTTCAATGGCATAGCTGATAAATTATGCACTCTTATATAAAAATGAAAACTAATTTATTTTTGATATTTTTGCTAGGATATTCTTCTAAACTGGTGAAAATGAAAGAAAGCTCACAGATAATTGTTTTACCTGTACCAAAACTCAATTATAGCTATTACGTTACCTTTTGAACAGTTCGTTAAAATTTATCATGTCCACATTTTATAACAAGGATGGCCGGCATTGAGATTAAACAAGGGAAACGCTCTCGGCGGTCTCGCCTGCATAACGCAATTCAATATGATACACCAGAACGTCAATGACGTAGCGCTCATCCGCATCTCACAACAACAAATATCGTAAATTTTATGTGGTACACTTTTGAACTGGTCAAAAAATAGAAATTTGATGCCCTGGAAGGGACATAATTTAATTTCATTTGCATAAAGTACCATAAATAATCAATGGAACAAAATCTCACAATTCTGTGTAGAAGTTTAGTGTTCCAAATTTAGCTCTACCAGATAAGGCAAAATCGGTCAAGAAATGAGGGAAAAGAAGCAATTTTTGTTATTTTTGGAATAAATTTGCATAAATTACCATAATTAATGGAGAACAATTTCAAAATTCTGTGTAGAAGTTTAGTGTACCAAAGTTAGCTCTACGATATAAAGCAAACCAAATCAAAATCGGTCGAGAAATGAAGGAGAAGAAGCCTTTTTTGTGATTTCGAATAATTTTGCATAAATTAGCATAGATAATGAATTTCACGATTCTGTGTAGAAATTTTAAATCCCCTCCTAAGCCCCATCATATGAAACAATCAGAATCAAAATCGGTTGAAAAATAACGAAGAAGAAGCATTTTGAAAATCTTAATGTTGATGCCACAACAAAGTCTAAGTTTGTTGACCTTAAATGGCCTTTGACCTTAACTTAGTGACCTGAAATTCTACTCACATGATTGGGGAGACTTGATAACCCTATAGTCCAAGTTTCATTGACTAAGAACTTATACTTTCAAAATTATATCAAAAATTCAAAAACTTAACCTTAGGTTAAGTTTTCGATGATGATGCTACAACATAGTCCAAGTCTGTTGACCTGAAATGACCTTTGACCTTGACTTTGTGATCTGAAATTCTACTCACATGATTGGGGATACTTGATTACCCTATAGTCAAAGTTTCATTGACTAAGAACTTATACTTTAAAAATTATATCAAAAATTCAAAAACTTAACCTTAGGTTAAGTTTTTGATGTTGACGCCGTCGCCGTCGCCGTCGCCGTCGCCGTCGCCGTCGCCGTCGCCGTCGCCGCCGCCGTCACCGGAAAAGCGGCGCCTATGTCTCGCTTTTTGCTACGCAGGCGAGACAAAAAGGAATGCTGGCAATGGAATTACAATTGCAAACAAAGAAAATCTGACATATTTGAACTTCAACAATTACTAAAAATCCTCCTTAATATTCAACATGAAAGATTGCAATGAAACTACTTGTTTTAAAGAGATTAATACACTTATTCTAGTGGAGGAGATCTTGGCTGTTTTTTTCCCCTAAACGCTAGATTGCCAGCCTTTGCTACTCCAACATGCCAGATCTACGAGAATGACACAATAACATATAAAACAATATGATAAAATAGTAGCAAGAAAATTAATTAGTAATGATACAAGAGACAAAGAAAAGGAGAGAAGAAGTAAAACTAAACATGGAGGTTGAAAAGGAGAGGAGTAAAACCAAACATGGAGGTTGAAAAGGAGAAAAGGAGTAAAACTAAACATGGAGGTTGAAAAGGAAACTTCTTCTCTCCTTTTCTGTGTCTCTTATATCATTACTAATCAATTTTCTTGCAACTATTTTATCATATTGTTTTATATGGAAATGCGTATTATATATATATAAAGAGAAATGCAAAGAAAAGATATGAACAAAAATGGAAAGTAAGATAAGAGAAGGAAACCAAAAGATGTCAATGAAGAAATATAAATCAGAAGAGGATTTAATAAAAATAGAAAAACAAACAGCAATAAAAAAGCGAAAATGGAAAAATACACTAAAAGAAGGAAAATCAAAGAATTATATCAGGAAATGTAGAAAGGAAAATTGTCGGAAGAGGACCAAAAATGTATGTAAAGAGATGAGATGAGATTTTTATGCAATGAGTTAAAAAAAAAAAAAAAATGGGTCGTTTGAATAAGTAAAAAATGATACTTCAGATAGGAGGGAAATTTCATTACAAATACATTTGGTGGGCAGGGGCATACACAAAATTCTTTTAAATGTTATTACCTTGAGCTGTAACAAGATGAGGCACCAAAGCTATGAGGGCTACCAGCAGTCCCCAAAAACGGGGCGTTGCCATATTTGGTGAAGGCAGAACGGCTCGGCCGTTATCCAAGGTACAACAAAAAAAGTTGATAAAGTGGATTCCACTTAATATCCAGCAAATAGATTTTGAACCAATGCAATGGTCAAGGAAATCAAATCTCTAAACGAAGAAGAAAACGACAGAAGAACGGAAGACGGAGACTTGGTCTGTATAAACCAAAATTCAAAGAGTGAGAGGTAGAGAGGCACGTACTCCCTGATAGCACAACCTGTCTGCTGTGAAAACTTATCCTAATAACTGCTTGATGTTATATCCTTCTCTCTAAGACTCTCTCTCTCTCTCTCTCTCTAAACTGTGATAGGAGTGGTGGTGCATCACAATAAAGAAATGCGTGGGTGAGTGTGTGTGTGTCCTGTAGCTCTTTTTCTCAGGGGAACACCGAGCCAACACCCAGTTCTCCACTCTTTCGATTTCTCTCTCTCTCTCTCTCTCTCTCTCTCTCTTCATTCTTCATATTTCCTCTGGAGGCATGCCTAACAATAGGGTAGAACGCTGATTGGTTAATATCAACAAACCCTAAAAAATTGTATACCTCTAGTTGAAGGTCAATGAACAATATGTGGGAACCTGCACAACCTGACACTGTCTATATGTCTCCATCAAAATGTGTTGAATATCGACAGAACTATTATAACTTTGTCTTGTTTCGTATTATTTATATATTGAGTCCTTCATGACTGATAAATTTTCTAATACAATACATCAAATAGTGATATGAATTAGAAATTATAGAAATTCAGATATCGATAGGTTGCAAATTTGATTTTGATTCAGATAGATGAAAATGGTCAATATCATTCAAGAAACACAGTAACATCAATATTTGTAGATTAAAATACATCAGTGCACACTAGTCATTTCCAAAGAATGGAGGGACTTGAGTTCTCTCTCTTCTTTCGACAAGATATTACATCCAGTCCATATGTTTGAAACTACATACAATTTAGGCAATCAAAACCATTTAGTGGTGTGTTAATTCATACAGAGGTACATGTAGATTGTTATGTTAAGAAACATCATGATAATAGGCCAGTTATTTCATTTACCTGTAACAAATAATTTTATTTCATAAGTCAGAATGCGAATTGCATATATAATTATATCCTTCACAGTCCTTGACCTCATTTACTATTTAAGTTTCCCTCAATTAACCTAAACTGACACACAATATCACTGAAAATACATTCTCTATCCAGTTCCATTGAGTAACTGCCTAAGCAAAACAATTGGTATAAACAACAAACCAACATCCAAGTCTATACGAGTCTTTGGTTTTTCATCTGATGCGATTTTATTAACAGTTGTATTCATCGTTTATCAAAGCTTGAGTAGAACAATATAAATGGCTGCTCAGCAGCCACTGACAATCAAATATCCTCATCTTGCATATGTGATCTGCCAGCTCAACTGCATCGGTAAATCACTAAATGAACAATGGAGAAGATTAAGGTTGTTCTGGCTGCTGATACATCATGTTACTGAAGTGTTGAAGTAGTATGAAGCTGACAATCCATGCTGAGGTTATGCAAATGACTTAAAATACAAGTCCACTCCAAAAATAACTTACTTTCAATAGAAGCAGAAAGATCAGACAAACGAATCAAACAAAGTTTGAGCAAAATCAGATAACTAATAAGAAAGTTATGAATTTTTGAAAAAGTATGTAAAACTATGGAACAATGGATCACTACACAAATTGCCAATTTGGTTATCAGTTTGTGACGTCATGTCCTCACTATTTGTCAATTGCTTTATATAGTTTTATCCCATTGATTTTTCTTTTTATCCTCCAAAACTTGATTTCCCCATGTCTTTGCCAAGGTTATAGCTTGCATGACATTTCAAAAAATCTTTTACGAACTTTGGAGAATTGATACTATTTTCTGAATATTGTTTATTCATAATTATTGATTTTTATATAAATAGTTAATCAAAATTCACATTTTTCAGGATTTAATTGGAAAAAATTACTCTATATTAGTGTATCCACACAAAAACATATACTATCAATCTAACTTGGATGCTGGTGTAGAGAAATAAGATTCTTAGGGGGGAAATAGGTAATCTATATTATCAATATAAAGAAATTAGTGGATAGTGAGGACATGACGTCACACAGACTCATGAGTGAGTTGCCAATTTGTGTAGTGATTTTCAAAGTTTTTCATGTCATTAGAAATTCATAACTTTCTTATTAGTTATCTGATTTTGCTCAAACTCTTTTTGATTGTTTTGTCTGATATTTCCTATATTGAAAATAAGTTTTTTTTTGGAGTGGACTTGCCCTTTAAACCAAAATCATGCGCCATCAATGTGTTGTATAGAATGCGCATTGACTTAATTGTGCGCAGTATATATGACTGCATATGAAAACCACATACAGTGTACCTGCCAATGAAGGCCTCCACAATAATTGACGTAAGTCAGTTAAGGAGATATCTGAAATCTAGGGTAAAATACTTAATTAGCCAACATCGTCAACTGAATACCAAAGTTGGCAAAGTATTTTACCTGAGCGGAAAACTGAGTAAAATATTTGTATTTATGACATAAGTATTTGATAGAATTCTGGCCCTGGGCCCAATATACTAATCATGTAGCTACATTTATAGTTATGCCCTCCTATTTGGAAAAAAGAACATGAAGTGGTTAACTTTTGCATTTATCAATCAGTTTCATACTGTATGAAACAAAACAAACAAAACAAAGTATATTGGAAAAGGTACTGTGTTTAAATAGAACCTTGTCTACCTTTTGATTTTGTTTCCTGGGGGCCGTCATAAGTTTGTGGACACCCCCATAGAAATGCATGTTAATTCTATAACACACGTTTCAATGGGATGTCTAAGGAGTTAGACCAATGATGATTTCAAGAAAGGAGCCTTTCAAAAACCTTTAGAAAACCATAATTGGCTATGTGTTAAAAGCTGGTTCAGTTATACCTTTATAAAACCATGATCGGCTATGTGTTAAAAGCTGGTTCAGTTATACCTTTAGAAAACCATGATCGGCTATGTGTTAAAAGCTGATTCAGTTATACCTTTAGAAAACCATGATCGGCTATGTGTTAAAAGCTGGTTCAGTTATACCTTTAGAAAATCATGATCGGCTATGTGTTAAAAGCTGGTTCAGTTATACCTTTAGAAAACCATGATCGGCTATGTGTTAAGTGTCCAAGAAATAGGCAAATTGATCAATCAATAGTACTTGCCTCATCTTTCTTTCTTTTTCTTTTTTTGGGGTTCTACCCTGTTGTGGAGGTGTTATGGTACATGTATAGTGGTTCATTCACTTCAACCAATGGGTTGAATGCACCAATCCAAGCCAGGCACATACATTAGCAAGACATTATTTCATGTTTGCCATTCTCCACCCAAGTGAAAATGGGTACTCTATATACTTGAGTGTTTGGCTATGGCCAGGCTAATAACTTTAGATAGAGCATCATGACATGACAAAAATGAAAGCTATACAGAAAGCCACATTGTTATTATCATTGTCATTCTTGTTATTATAATTACTAGGTACTTGGAGAAACACTTGATGTCGAATTCTGATTGGGTCACTGAACCTCTTATAAACTGACAGATCACTATTGATGATTATGATGAATTATTATCATTATTATTATTATTATCATCTTTATTACTATTATTACTATTATTATAATTATTAGTATCATTATTATTGATACTATTATTATTAATATTATGATTATAATTATCATTATTGCTATTATTGTTATTATTATTCTGTAAAAAAATGATCTCTAAACTTGTGTTGTATTTCATCACATAAAATTGCTAAATGATGTGATCAGCTGAGAGCCATAGGAATGTTAGCATATAACCTAATGCCCATCTGGGCCTGTATTCAATTCAATACATAAGTACAAAATTTAAGCTTTTTACTTAGTATTTGGCTTAGATAAAATACTTAGCCAATTTTGGTATTCAATTCAAAATTTTGGCTTAGTAATTTACCCTAAATTTAAGACAGCTCCCTACCAGACTTAAGCCAGTATTTTAACCTGCGTACAATTATACCAGCGCACATTCATTGCAACGCATTAATTGCACATTAGTTTTGATTGAACGTGTGACGTCACAATGCTTATCAGTAAGTATTTTACTTAGATTTTGTCCTAGAGTACCTCACTGCCGAAATCTTGGAACTCGCAGGCAATGCTGCCCGCGACAACAAGAAATCTAGGATTTCTATAAGTGTAAAATGCGATTTAAATACGAGATAAGTAAATTTCTTAGCTTAGCCATTTACTTAGTAAATTTCTTACTTATGCTAAGTATTGAATTGAATACCGGCCCAGGTTCTCAACAGATGAAATAATTCTTTCTTTGTGAAATCACATGTGAATAACTCAGTTCTGACCCCTGCCAACAAACCATAACAATTGGCTAGAATATTTGATGAAAACAATATCATTTAGAAGCCCCCCAAAATAGCATCATAGTTTTATACATGTTCATATTTTTTTATCTTACATATAATGACCCCTCACAATACAGCAAAAATCCTTTTCTTTACAGAATAAACAAAAATAATTAATTGTGTTTCAAACCACTTTTTATTAAACAGTGCAAAATTAATTCAAAAATAATTCAAGAGGGGAAGACTTGCAAGAATAACAAAAATGTGCCTTCATCTAGTGTCTTTACAATTTTGTTTATACTAATCACATTTGCTGCTAAAGCACTCCTGTTATTTCATCATCCACAATCAAGGTAATACATGTGAATGAGTGTATGATTACTTTTCAGATGGCTACTAATCATTGAAATTACACTCATCTATATTATACTCAATGATTTGTTTATGTATCAAAGTCTGTGACTAGAATAAGAGTCAAGGTTACTCTCTTCATTTATCGTGGCTTTAGGAAGAAATACATTCTTTCATTTGTTGACAAGCATGACACAGTACTATTGAGAACGTAATACCAAGTCAGAAAAAATTGATGTTCAAATCTATAAGGAGATGAAATAAATTATTCTCTAATTTTCTTTAATTGGTAATCTTTAAAATAAGATTGTTTTAATGTTCAATTTTTTTTCTCCTTTTTGTTTTGTAGTATTTATATCTTATTAAAGTGACTCGGTAATGGGGCTTTCACATATACACTCCGGGGCCCGTACGGCGAGTAAAAACAGACATTTTGGGAATTTTCGACCGGTGTCCGGCCAGCTGCCGACAAGTTCCTACGGGCGCCGGGACAGTTTTCTAAGCCGTACGGGCCCCGTGGTGCTGAGTTGGCTGCTCCC